TAGTCAATCTTTTGGTGTCATTGTAAAGAAAGAAATATAAATAAATAAATTTAAGAATATAACCACACAAACTTCGTAGTACTGTCGTAAAAGTTGGGATCATTTACCAAGATTTGTGCTTAAAAGAGCACATTAGGGTTTTAGTCTAGATTTTAGGGTTTATGGACCCTTGATGAGATTTAAGGAGTCAATGTCGGTAGACTGCTTTCCTAAAATGGATCATGAATGTTGTTCAAAATAGAGCCACACAAAAGTGAGTTCAACAAAACTTAAAATCAAAGTCTAATTCAACTTAGGCCCCAAATCAAATGAAATCATGGGGTCAACTTGATCTAACTCAGGTTAACCCAAATCAACTGAAACCACAGAGTCAACCTGACCTAACTTGGGTTAACCCAAATAACCTAAAACTACCAAGTCAACTCGATATAACTCGGGTCAGTCCAAATCAACTGAAACCATCGAGTCAACCAGGCTTAAATTGTTAAACCAAATCAACTGAAACCACTAAGTCAAACCAACCTAACTCAGGTTAGTACAAATCAACTGAAACCACTCGGTCAACACAACCTAACTCGGGGTAGCCTAAATCAACTGAAAACACTGAGTCAACTCGTCCTAACTCAGGTTAGCCCAAATTGAGTGAAACTATTGGGTGAACCTGAACTAACTCTGGTTATCCCAAATCAACTGAAATAGCCGGGTAAACCCGACCTAATTTGGGCTAACCTAAAACCACCATTTTCTTGGGAGAATCCAACTTAACTTCGATTTACCCGATTAGAGACTCAAACTCTAGATTGGTTTAAGTCTCAAACCAAATTTAACTAGGATTAATTCAATTTTATCCAAACTCAGACTTGAAAACCATCTAAGTTTAAATTAACTCAGGCTTCACATAAGTCAGATTTAACTTAAACTTGACCCAACATCTTTAACTTGAATCAACTTGGCTTAAACTAAATTGATTCTAATTTAAATTAAGTTTAAAATTAATTTGGTATTCTTAGAGTTAGTCTAAATTGAATAGGTTCACTTTGATCTTGATCCAACTAAACCAACCTGGGTCGATCCTATTAAATTTTGGTTGACTTGAACTAAGCTCAAATATAATCCAAGTGACAATCAGTATAACTCATGTTAACTCCGTTCACTTGGTAACTCATCGTAGAATAGTTCAAATCAACTAAAAATAATCTAAAAATTAACCTTAACCTAGTTGACTGGAGGTTAAGTAGGGTTTGACTTCTCATAGAGAATAAAATCACACTTAGCCTTAGTCAGGGACAATTTGGGATAAAATACCAAACCAACTTTAATGAAATGACATAAAATTTACTCTAAAAGATATTAAAACTTAAACCTAAACAAAAAAATACAACTTGGTTTGAGAAGGTATTTTGGAGGAGGCAACCTATGACTGCTAACAAAATATCTTCTTATCAATTATGACTAATCAACTCGCAAACCCCAATAACCCCGAGATGACAGGATCATGGGATCTTTAACGGGTCATCCTAAACTACAAAAATAAAATGAAAAAACACAAAAATTTAATCGACTAATAAGTCTTAAGCAACCTAAAACTTTCAATTCTTAAAATAAAAAAAAAGACATTAAAACTTAAATAAAACCTTCATGAACAAAGATCATCGAACATAACTTGAACATCACAGACCTGAATATATGATGTTCCTTGCAAGATGTAATCCATGATTGCCGACAAGAATCTTTTGGTCAGATTTTGTTTTATGACCTCTCAGATTAAGTAGAATAGGGTACCAGACATCCCCAGAACGATAAAGCCATGGTCATCTTGACTAGGTTGTCTAAAAACTAAAATATAATTTTTTGCTAACCTTGTTTTGCAAGAATGTTGAAGAATGTCACCCTAGATTTATTTTTCATGTTATTAGAATGTGCTAATTCTATTTTGCAATGCAGACATTTAAACTCAGAATGATGGATGAACTTCAACTAAACACAAATCCATAGGATAGATTGAAACCTTTAGGATTACTCTTAGAGTAAGACGTTGAAATTTCTTTCCTTAACAATAACACTTAAATTTTTCAAGAACAAATTATAACCTCAATTAGAAGTTTTCATAAGTAGTTTTCACTACTTAAGATTTATTTAACAATAGAAGGTTGCCTTTATAGAAGAATGCAAACTCTAGAACTTGTACATAAACCTGAATTCTCTGGTTATTAGCTTTTTAGGGTCTCCTTCTCATTATGTCATATAAGCATTCCAAACGCATGATTTAAAGCTACCAATGCAAACATTCTCCTTCATGAAGGCTTCCCACACACTCCTTTTGTTTGTTCTTGTTATTGCTAACCACATTCCTATGATTTCTCATCTCTTAGTTCATTCATATGATCTGAGATGAAGAATTATTCAGATAAGAAGGCAACATAACAAGCAAGAAATTGGCGACCCCACGACAACGACGACAACTTCAAGTCCAACTAACATGAATGAAGACCAATGCCACTACTTCAGGTGGCATTTCATGATTTCATAATTACTGTTTGCATAATATTGTATAGATTATTCTCAAATTTACTATAAGGATAATATCAAACTGCCTATCAATGAAGTAGTATGAATAATACTTCAAATCTTTTGGGGAAATGTATGAAACAAATGAAAAAAAAAGTGGTGTTGGAATCATTTGACCTATATCACTTTTGATAAAGAATTAGTGGACCGGTAAAAGCTAAACATTCAATTTTTTAATAACTTAAGCATTTAGTTGTTGTAAATTTGTAGTAATTTGGAGAGTATGAAATCATGGAGGTTATACCAAGATTTAGATGCATAAATCAAAATATGAGCCAGCGATAATTTTTGATGGCTTTTCACGACATGTAAATATTAGAATTATCCTTGATTAATAACACTTGTAGAAAAACTTAATATTGAGTACGATTGTTTACGTTGCTCAGTAGTTCAAAGAAGTTTATTTAATTGAAAACACTAAACATACTTATCCTTTTATTTCCAAAGTAAAATTATAAGAGATTTAATGCTTATTAGATTAAATTTGATTTGAAGTATGACTCATAATTGATTGAATCTAAAGATTTTTTCTCATACTCACGTAGAAATGAAATTTAACTCAATCATTATATTACTTGAATGACACATGTACTTACGTGAATTTTGCATAAGCAAGATCAAATGTTTGAATAAAATCATTGAGTTTTTTGCTTAGAATAAAATCATTGAGTTTTTTGTTTGATCATTTGTTTCTAATTACTGTGTAAAATTATATAAAGTTAATCCATAATAAACATACCCAAAAATCTATAGATAAATATGGCCACTTTTTATTGCCACATAATAATTTTTAATATAAAACTCTTTTTCAAAGAATTAAAAATATCTTTCACGAGTAGCTCTAATTTAATACCTTATGTTACATTAATTTTTTTTCATTAGTATGCATGGTCATACAAATCATTAGTTTAATAAATAATAATAATTTTAAAGCATGAAAAATATGTGTCCTTATGACATCAATAATGAATAAATTAATCAAGCAGTAAATTATAAGTTTTATCATAATCCAAATAATTAAATCTTAATTTTTTTGGAAACTATTTTCATGTTACCTTTTAGAAATTTATATCGTGGGAAATTACATTTTTCAATTTGTTCTGTTAAAGTGAGATTGTTATAAAAAATCTATTGTTCTACTTTTTTGAAAAAAAAATATTTATTTTGAATTTCTACCGTAGCTTTCTAAGAAGTTGTCTTCTATTCAACATCTTTATAACCACATTCTTAAAAAAGGCGTAGCTACCTCAAGAAGACCCTTAATATTATTCCAACCTTAATGAAATCTTAACCAACATTATTAGTACTTTCTTGGTCATTGTTCAAACTAGGATTGAATCATCTTAAATTATTATTTAAAAGTAGTTCAAATCTTCTTTAATCATTATTTGAATCATAATCAAGTCTTATTCAGTAATTGTTTGCACAATGATGTATCCCTCTTTGACTCTTTTATTATGATTGGTCAAACCTTATTTGAGCATGAGTGAATTACATTTCAATAGTTTGATCGTGACCAAAATATATTTCAATCAAGTCCAATATAAGTTTCAATTAATGTTAGAAGCTAATAATTTGTTGTTTACTATACATTTTGTATTGCACTTAAGAGAATGAACATTATTAAAAATTGATAGCCAAATATGTATAATTATTTGTCTAGAAACTTTTTAAGAGAATAATTACTAAATAAATAACCACAAATTAGGAAGGCACTGAGAATTGAAAATGTCAGGCAACTACTTGCTAAAATATTTATTTTTTTAATGTATTAATATACTTTTGAGTTTTAGGGTTATCATGGCAAGAATATACTTTCAAGTATATTTTATTTGATGCCATTTGTGATCATTTTAGCTTTATGTTTTTATTTTTTATTTTATTTATATTTTGATTTGCAATAAAATATATTTATTATTTTTTTATTAAGATATGATTATCTTTTACAATACCTATAACAACAAAAACTTATTTTGAGTGTTTTCAATAGAATGCTAATTTGTATTTGGGAAAAATAAATTATAACATGCAAAAACACACTAAAAAAATTTGTTTCAAAAATAAAAGAAAAAATAAATTTATAAAAAAAATAAAAATAAAAGTGATCCAAAACAAGCCCTTAATAAATGAAATAATATATAATTTTTTTAATTTCCATTAATGTAGGGCATATAAAATCATCTTTCTCGTATAAATAATTATAATTAGAGATGAGTAATCAAATTATCATATACGTAATAATTAGTCTTTTAATCATTTTCATAATCAATTTATATTTAGTATCATAAATTAATTTTATCATTTAATATTTAACCATTGCTCGACCAACTATAGTCTTTTAGTCATGTTTACTAAATTTTTATTTTTAAATTAATTTATAGTTGCGCATATATGTAAAACTTCTCAAGACTTAAATCAGAATTTTTAATAATTAATGCCCTAAGTGAGAAATAGCTCGTGTTCCATGATCCTTCTCGCTCTCTCTCTTTTCTACCGGCGAGAACAGGACTGCAAGATCTCGACCCTTTGGCGGGGTCAATCGCCCTAGTTCAGCCGAAGATGGTTGGCGCGACGGAGGAGGCGCGATTGAATCGGCTAGAGATTCAGGTGGACAACGGTGGCGGGGGGGCGTGGGAGTATCTCTGCCTCGTGCATAAGCTTAAGGCCAGGAGATCAGAGAAGGTCCTAAGGCATGGACTCTTCATCCTAAATAGCCCGGGCGCTCGATCTAAGCTCGGTGGAAAAGGTTATTACCCTTCAAAACCTTTTATTTGACATATCCTGTATCTATTCTATCGATTGAATGGTAAATGCGTTTTGTTGGGGTGTCGGCCAAATGTTTCTGCTCGAAAGTGTACATTCTATGATGGGTTTAATAGGCTTGATGGACTCTTGTGCTAGTGTTCTTTATTTTTTATTTTTGTAGATTTTTAGGACTGCATATCTGAGCATGATTAGTGGATAGGCTTTATTGTTCCTATTATGTAAATTATTTGATTTGTTTTGTGAATTACTGATTATTTACCAAGTTTTCTATGTTGTCTTCACTTCCACGTTACTGTTTACGCTAATTAGGAAAACTTATGACCTTTTGTAGCCGTCGAATAAGTTGTTTCAATTTGTGTGCTGGTGTTGGGTTTTCATCATGCACTTCGTAGCATATTGTGATATTTGTATGTATAGGTTGCTTGACATGGTCCTAATCGTTTATTATTATGCTTGTAACTTTTACTTAATCACGTAAGATTCCATACCAAATGATCAGATTTTGCATAATCTAAGTTAAATTCATCAGTTTTTTTTTTCATGTGCGTGCATATTGGATTTATATATTTATGTTTTAGGCACTCACATTAGTTGAAAATGTACTTTCAGAATCATGATCTTAGTTGTGTCTACTTCCTTATATATTTGCACTATTTGCACTCTAAGAATTCACACAGGTTTTCATTGATTTGTTCAACATTGCTGTTAAATTCTATTCCCACCGAACATGTTCTTTATTGAGTAGCATATCATATCAACACCAGCCCAAAATATCTATTTTTTAATTTATATATGCCTTCTATGAGTGTGAATTGCTTTTGCAGTTATTGTCTTCTCTTTTCTTCTGTGATTGCTGACTTTGTGCTTTATTATGTCTTTTTTTCTGCAATTGGACTTGTCCACATAATTTGTTTTTCTTCCACTCCTTTTTTTCCTACTCAGAATTGTTTCTTTGTTCATGCAGAATGGGCCCTTTATGAACAAGTTGCTGTTGCTGCTATGGATTGCCATAGGAATGATATTGCAAATGTTGAGCCTCCATTGACTTCTTGTTTTTTATTTTTTCCTGTTAGTTTATATGAAATACTAATGCTAGAGGCAGTCTTCTGAGATATGATTCTTTATCAATTTTATTCTATGGTTGAGATCAACTAATTGTAGAGAAGAATAATGTTGTGCAATAAATGAGTGTTGGGTAACAAAAAGAATCATTAATGGCCAAGTGGAATGTTATACAAATAATTATGTCAAGATAGACTTGTGCTAAAATTAGTAAGAATAAACTGAAATTTGGACATTTTGTTTCTGAGGATTGTTGGTTGAATTTTGTGTAACTATAATTGTAGAGTTAAACCTTAGAATTAAACCTAAAAAAACTTGGGCGTGTTATATAAAAAAAATAATTTTAATTTATTAAAACTAAATGAAGATATGATACTCGGTAGGACACAATGGAGAAAAAAGATTCATGTACCCAACCCCAATTATTGGGATATAGGCTTGTTTTTCTTTTTTTTTCTTGTTGTTGAATACTTTTTTTTTTTTACAGGATTGTATTGAAGCCCTCTCTAAGAAATTCCCGGGAAGCATTCGTGTTGGTGAGTTCTTTATTATGGATAAGATTTTAATCAATGGTGTTATTATCGGCTTATTCGTACAAATCAACTAAATGTAGATGCCCAGTTGTTTGGATTAGCCAACAACTCATTATAACTTTCATTATCATGTAATCAAGTGTGTGTGTATGTCTATATAAATATAGCATTTGTTTATTTTACATGTGTTTAATGCGTAGAAATTAAGTCATAACAAATAGTATTACTACTTTCTTACATAAAAGCTTTAACAACTTCCTTTTGTTGGGCTTGCATCACTTTTGTTTATCTTATTATTTCTCTATATGTAGAATCATAGTTTAATTAATTGTATACTTGCATTAGGTCGTTGATGTAAGTATAGGTCGTCTTAAGTAGGAGAGTTGGTGAAGGTGGTTTTGAGGGTAAGCATATTGAGAGTTTACTTCTATCAATTCTTTTTATTTTTGTTTGAATGTTGGGTTAAGGAAGTGGTGAATAAGGGAAAGGTTTGGAGGCTATTGCTAGGCTTATTGCATCAATGGGATAACTAAGAGGGATTGAGAGGAGGATTTAAAAGGAGACTAAGTAAGACGGGTGGTTATGGTGGCCCCACCTAAATTGATGGGGTGTGTGGATATTTGGATAATTTTGTAAAAGCGTTAGCTATAAGCTTACAACTAACTCCTACTATATGCCTCACTTGTGCTAAGATTGGGAAGAATGCTAGAGGGAGGTGGGATTTACTCAATGTTAGGCACCCTAATGATCCTATTAATAGGATTAGAGCAGTGGGAATATAAGGAGAGTTTTTAGGTGCTGTGAACCTAAATGATTTAGTGGCTTGAATGTGTATTTGTTAAAAATGGCACCCTTCTCTTGTTCCAATGAAACTACGTCTTTCTTGATAGTTAAAGAAGAAGTGACGATTTAATTTTATTATTTTTCCATAAGTTTTGAAAATTGGTTTCATTTTTAGTTCCGTTGTAAAAGTGTCACAGTTTAATTGTTTCAATAATTTTAGTGTCCAAATTAGCTTTTTGAGATAGTTAATTAAGGACATTATCTAATTTATTATAACTCAAAAAAAATTAAAATAATCACATAAAATAAATTATTAAGATACAGCGTAACCTTTTAAATTAGAGGCATATAGTTGTATACAATATGTACAAATTTTATTTTATAATAAATCATAGTATGAGTTATGTAGATAAAGATTTATGCTTGATACTTTGATAAAGGAATATGATTGCTTTATCAGTATTTACCTCTTCTTTGTGTTTTATTTCTTTTGGTTAAAATCAACTTAATAAGATAAAACATATTGATCAGCACTCATCAGTGTGCTACTTCTTGATTGGCTCTCTTCATTCGTCAGTGACTAGTGAAAAATAAGAAATAGTTGCTGTTTTCTATGTAAAATACAATAAATTGGAAAGTATTCTTGTTGATTAGATTATGTTTAATAAGTCGTTACTTGGGCTTATTTGATCTTCTCTTAAAAGGGATTTGTAAAATTACCTGAACCTATAACGTAACACCTTCTACTCTCTATGACCTATGTCGGCCTTGTAGAGTTGAAATGCGATGATGTCTACTTAAATTAAGGAAATGTTTAGGTCAAGTTATATTAATAGTAACGTGTTAATTTTGATGATAATTAAAAATTTTCAGTTATCATTCTAGTTTGAGTTGGTGGAAAGACTTATATTCTATATAATTTATCAAAAATCAAATGGTCAACTAAAAATGCTGGAAACAAGATATTGCAGTTGATGTTGAAGATTCAAGAAAAAGGAAGCTACTAACGGAATCATTTACCATATAGAAGACTGAAAACAAAAGTGGAAAATAAAGTCTTGTTGAGGAAATAATACGGAGTTCAACTGTATAATTTGAATAGTTTGAAAGAGGTCCATCATTAGTATATATTGAAGAACATTGTGAAGCTGAAGCTATGTTTAGCATCATACAAAAACAACCATTAAGTGAGCATCGCTAATATCATTAATTCCACCATTCGGAATGATTATACCTTTTAGGGAAGCTGATGGCCACAATCTATCCGTTTATTCACAGGCTAAAAAATTCATACCAATGGTATCTAGAATTATGGAATGGTACAAAATAAATGTTTTATGATACTTGTGCACAAAATAGATTTACTCAATGTTACTGCAAATGTGATATCTCTGAAATTATTAAAAAAAATAAGAGAAGATGCACAAAATGTTCATTGAAGTAAAACTGAAATGTGGTCTTAGAATGTTGTATGTAATAGGTTACATGACTTCATGAAAAATAAATAAATAAATAATTTCAACTGTTATATGCTTTAGATGCATCGAAAGAACTAGATGTATTGAAAGAAACCATCAATTTGAAGAGGTTGAAGTCGTAGGCGACCATAATTTCAAAACCATAGGAGCTGCCAGAGATGAAATTATTCTAAATTTTTATGGTTTGCTCTAGATTTCATTTCTAACCTCGTTTATGCTTTTTTCGCATGTTTAAACGGGAAATGTGAAATTGCAAATAGTTTTTTAAAAACATGTAAAATAACTGAATAGGCTATGTAGAATTTACTCGGGAAAAAATAATTGTATATATAGATTTCAATCCCTCTTAATTTATAAACTTACCAAATATATTTAACCTAAATCAGAGAAGGAAATAATTTTGAATTATAAAATTAGGAAACATAAATAGGAAAGGAATAAACTCAAATCAAGATGTTTTCAAATTGGTCCCCTATCAAATCTCCCATAATATCTTAGATAGCCAGCTGGTCCAAAACAGGAAAATCACCTGGAACTTTTTAGGTTTCCACAATCTCCCTCACGCTGGGTTGTAGATGTTATAAAGACCAACTTTGGTATTGAACTCTAAGAATGTGCTTAAAAGAAGGGCCTTGGAGACATCAAATACTTGTTGGTGTGTCGGGATTTAATTTAGTTTTATAATTCCACCTTTAACCTTTTCAGAGATGAAGTGTTTATCAACTTCAATATGCTTGGTCTTGTCATGATGCATAAGGTTATTGACAATACTGATAGCTGTTTGACTGTCACAAATAATCTTTATAGGTCTATTGGAGGTACATCCCAATTACCTTAATAATTTTTGAATCCAAATCCCTTCATAGATTTCCAAGACAAGTGCATTATACTTTGATTTTGCACCTTTTTCAGGAAGAGTAGCTTTCTTCTTACTTCTCCATCTAACAAAATTTCCCCATACATATGAGTAGTCATAGGTGGTGTACTTTCTGTCAGTGAGTTCCCCAACTCAACTAGCATCAATGTAGAATCCACATTTTTGTTTCTTGTTTTCTCAAAATTAATCTATAATCAAAAGTATTTTTGAGAAATTTCATAACCATTGTTAAATGCTCTTCATTTAGGCTATTCATACATTAGCTCACAATACTAACAACGTATGCGATATCTGACTTAGTATGTGATATATAAATAAGTTTTCGTAACAGTCTTTGGTATCTTCCCTCATCCACAAATATTCTCTCTTCTTCCTTAGACTTCTTTTTGGGTTCTATTGCAATATCAATGGGTTTCCATCCAATCATCCCTGTTTCTTTTAGTAGTTCTAGGATATATTTTCTCCTTAATATAACAATGCATTTTGTGGGCCTTAATACTTCCATACCTAGAAAATATCTTATGTTTCCTTGGTCATTGATTTCAAATCCTGCGACAAGCACTTTGATTTTAAAATTTCTCTTTCATCATCACTAGTAAGAATCATATTATCCACATATGATTAGTGCATCAATTTTATCTCTCTGAGCGCGTTTAATAAATAAAGTGTGATAAGTATGATTTTGAGAATATCCATTAGAATTCATATTTTTGACAAACCTTTCAAATCATACCCTTGTTGATTTCTTAAGCTCATAGAGAGACTTCCTGAGTTTGCTTACTAAGTGTTTGTTGGAATTACTCACAAGTCATGCTGGTATCTATTCTCAAGTCTTGGTAGTATTTCCATATACATTTTTTCTAGATCCCCATTCAGGAAGACATTTTTATGTGAAGTTGATGCAGTCCCCATTCATTGTTAACTGTTTTTGAAAGGAGACCTCTAATAATATTTAGTTTGACAACTGGTGCAAAGGTCTCCTGATAGTCAATCCCATAAGCTTGCTTGAAATTTTTTCAACAAGACTGGCTTTGAATCTTTCAATACTCCCATCATCTTTATATTTGATGTTGAATACCCTCTTGTATTCAATTGGCTTTTTATCTTGAGGGAGTTTAGTAAGAATTCATGTGCCGTTATGCTTTAGTTTTCTGATCTCCTCTTCCACTGTTTTTCTCCATTTTGGATTTTCAAGGGCTTCATAAATGGATTTAGGAATATACACACTATCAATGTTAGATATATATGCTTTATTGGCCGAGGATAGTTTCTCATAATCTACATATTCTTGAATTTGGTATCTGGTCCAATTTTTCTTTTGATCAGCATCAGAAGAGGAAGTGAATAACTCATGAGTATTAGACTCATTACTCAAAATTTTAGGTAATTATGAGACACGAGGTTTGGTTGGAGCTGTTCTATTTTTGCAAGTTGCTTCCACTTGCTTGAGATTTTTCTTCCTCCTAGAGTACACATGAAGTTCTTTGTTGTGGACTTCTGGTCTGGTTAGTTGGATTTCCTCAAGAAGAGTAAGAGAGTCAGGTGTACATCCTAAATTACTGTTTATTTGCATTCTTCCTTTGAACAAAATATTTGGGATATTAAGATTATTTTTTAAAAATGTGACATACATGGAGTTGTAATATTTTTTGGTAACAGTAGACTAACACTTAAACCACCTTTTTTGTTAGAGACATACTAAAAAAAAATATACTTGATGGATTTTGGGTCAAGCTTTGTGCGGTTTGATTGGTGAATGTGGAAAAAATTGACACAAACAAATATTTTTAGGGAAGATCGAATGATAAGGCTCTAACATGAGGCTATTTTTTCATTTAAACATGGAGAGGGACTTTGAATTAAAG